CGCACCTGCCCGCCTGCCGGCCTGATGGTCCCTAACCACTTCTGCCTGCCAGCCTGATCACCCCATAACCACTCCCCTGCCAGCCTGATTGACACCTAACTGTTCCCCTGCCAGCCTGATCACCCCCCAACTGCCCTCTCCTGCAGGCGCCCTGTCCCCAACTGCCCCCCCCTTCAGGCCTAGTCCCCCCCAACTGCCCTCCCCTACCAGCCATCTTGTGACAATAGGGGTGGCCATCTTGTGACGACATGGGGACAACCATCTTGTGGCAACCATCTTGTGATGACGTGGGGGCAGCCATCTTGTGATGACATGGGGGCAGCCATCTTGTGATGATGCGAGGGCATGAGGGTCACGATGACGTGGGGGTGGTCATCTTGTGATGACATGGGGTGGCCATCTTGTGACATCACAGGGGCGGCCATCTTGTGATGACATGGGGTGGCCATCTTGTGATGGCCATCTTGTGACGTCACAGGGGCGGCCATCTTGTGATGTGAGGGCATGAGGGTCAATTTGCATATTACCACTTTATTATATAGGATATACAAAATTCATCGTGTTAACCACTTGGCGTTCTTTCTTCCTATATGAAGGAAAGAAGTTCATTCCCTACCCAGAGCTACAGTTTCTTCAAGGACCTTGCTTATGAAATACCCTGCCTTGCCATAGCCAGTTGGCCTGCGAACAGAAAGGTCCCAGGTTCGATTCCAGTCAAGGGCACATGCCCAGGTTGTGGGATCGATCCCCAATAGGGGGGCTTGCATGAAGCAGCTAGTCAATGATTCTTTCTCATCGTTGATGTTTCTATCTCTCTCTCCCTCTTCCTTCCTCTCTGATATCAATAAAAGTATATTTAAAAAAGGAAATACACTGTCTTTCTTCTGTGTCTTCAACCTTCTGTCATCTGGCTCTTTTCCCTTAGGATTCAAGTATGCTTACATCACTCTCATTTTCAGAAAGGACAGAAAAATCACTTCTTGATCGTCTATCTCCCTGTAATCATTCCTCTCACATCCTTCCTTTAAGAGCCAGCCCTTATTTAACTTCTCCATTCAAACTCACCGAAATCTGCTTTCCAGTTCTGGCTCTCCAGCCCCCTTCTCATTGCTACATCCCTGGATTGTTTCTTGGTGCATCTCTTAATCTTTCAGTTCGGAACTCAGAACTCCTATGAGGGTTTTTGTTTGTTTTGTTTTTGTGGTATCTCCATATTCCTCCCCTTCCTTATTCTTTTTGGACACTTCCTCCCCTGCCTATGCATTAATTATTCTCCAAATTTCTGCCTTGGCCTCCTTCTCTTCCCACAATGTTTTTTTTTTAATATTTTTATTGATTTCAGAGAGGAAGGGAGGGAGAGAGAGAGAAACATCAGTGAGGAGAGAGAATCATTAATTGGCTGCCTCCTGCATGCTCCACACTGGGGATGGAGCCCACAACCCGGGCATGTGTCCTGACCAGGAATTGAACCCTGACCTCCTGGTTCATAGGCCAATACTCAACCACTAAGCCATGTCAGCTGGGCTTGCCAGAATGTTTTCTTAGGCAACATTACCTCTCCTGTGGCTTTAGTTGCAACAGACATTGAGGTTAGAGAGATCTATCTTCAGATCCTTTCTCTGATACTTACTGTGTGACTTTGGGTACATTACTTAACATCCTCGAGCTTCTCATTCTTTATGTGTA